CCAGGCTTTCCCTCCCCCAGCCCCCCCAGGCTTTCCCTCCCCCAGCCCCCCAGGCTTTCCCTCCCCCAGCCTGGGCCTCAGGACCCCATCAAGCACCTCAAACCTTCAGAGTCCCCGCTATTTCTTAAACATTTAGAGAAAATGAATGTATTTTCTCCAAAAACAGTGTAGACAAGTATTTACAAAAAGACTCAGCCACGTGGCCTAATTAGCATTTGGGAGCAGGGGTCTCTGTCGCTTGACTCTGAGGCTGTCCACACATCTGTTCTCTCCCAACACCACCACTTACTTCAATCTCCAGGTTGCCTGGGTCTGAAAAGCTGGTTTCTCTGCCCCAAACACGTGTCTTTACCTTGCTGACCAAACACCCAGCCTCAGGATGGCAGTCTGGCCCAGGGTCCTAATGTAGGAGCCTGAGAAAACAGTGGCAGGAAGAGACTACAGGCTGAGATACTCAAGGGATGGTGAGGAGCCTGGGCTATAGTGGCCATACTAGCCTGAGATATCCCTCCCCATCCTCACAGGGGAGTATGTGGTCATGGTCTGTGATGTGACTACTCCTCCGTTCCTGGGCCATAGGCTGCCCACCACCTTCAAACACTTGCGAGTCTTGGCAAAGAGGGACAGCCAGTGGCCCCATGTCCCTGAAGATCACCCAGAAGCTCTAAGCTAGAAACCACTCCTTTCCTGTGGACATAAAGGAGCCAGTAACACCCTCAAGGGAAGGCCACCCTCCCTTGAATGGAGGTTCATGCTGCCTCCCCCAGGGACCACAGCCTGGGAGTTGGGAGCTGGCTCACGTGAGCCCCACGGCTACTGACTTCAATAAAACTCGCCACACCAACTTGGAGTAGCATGTTCGTGGGGCCCCTTCCAGCAGGCCTGGGCCTTGGTCCTGAGCTGAGCTGGAGTTCAGTGGGACACAGGAAGGGACTCAGTGCCCTGTGCCCTTTGAGAACCCTCATATCTGCCCTACCCACACTATTGCCAGGCCCATGGAGGTCTGCAATACATTTCTGTGAAGGCAGAGACTGGGGGCAGCCATGCCACTCAGCATGGCCAACCTCAGGTCAGATTCCCACGGCATTGCAAAGTGAAGAGGCTTTCTTGCCTAGTCCTCTCCAGCATTGGAAAGGTAGGGTAGTTGGAGAGAATCTCACAATTACTACTAAGGGGCACACTGGCTGCTGAGGAGGCCAAGAGCAGCTGGCCATTAGCCCACACAGAAGGCGTCCCTGGGAGGGCTTACTCCATTACAGAAACCCCCTCTTCCTGGCTTCAGAACTATGGCTGTCAACCCTTAGCTGGCTGGGCCTACTCGTCCATATGTGGACCCAACTGGGCAATGCAGGACATGGCACTGCCTCATCCTGGCCCACCCCCTCCTGGGTTACCCTAGTCACTTGCCAGCACGGCCTACCCTCTTACCTGGCCAACTGCTCCCTTTTTCCTGAAGAAATTAAGCCACAGGAAGGGGCATCAGAGCTCAGCTTCTGCCCTGATGACACATGCCAGGTCTGTCCCCAGTACACTAGCAATGTCCACAGAAATAGCCGCTGCATGTTGCCCAGGGACTTCCCCACTGGATCCTTGGGGCAGATTACTGCTCCACAGACCCCCATGCCCTCTTTGCCCTGCCCCCGTGGCACTGCAGCCCATCTAGAGAGACACTGTGCCTCTAAAGCCCTGGGACATGAGACACTAAGCCAGTGACTCTCCAGGAAATCATAGGAGCAAGACAGGTGACTACCCTCTCTGTTTTCCCAAGGCCCCAGTCAAGGTCAGTGTCCTCGGTTTGGATGCCGTGATAGGCCTCAGAGCTGAACCCACAGTTCTCAGCCCTGCTGTCCACTATGCAGAGCCTGAGCTGAGGTGAGCTTGGGCTTCTGACACCAGTGACCCAAAGGTGCCTCAGTTCACAAGTTCACCTTTGACCGGGTCACAGGAGGTCTTTGGACCCACCCTCTGCCTATCTCTCAAACTACTTCTGAGCATCACTTCCTGAGTCTGCCCTTCAGACACAGTACAACATTCTGTAGCTCCTTTCTCCTCCTCAAGATGAACCCACATTTCTGTCAAAAGAAAAACAAAGAAAATGATGTTTCAATTTAGGAAGGAAAATGGCTGGGAACGAGCAGCGGCAGCTGCCGTTTCCCAGCCCATCGTCAGGCGTCCTTCGGTATTTAATTCCCCAAAAGCACACTCAGCTTTTAAAGTCACAAAACCCTCGTCAGGAAACTTGTAGTCACTGCTCTGTGTGGGATATGGCAGGCAGGACTTGTGCCACGGTGGCTTTTCTGCAGACGTCAGGCCTGTCCCGGCAAGGGAGGCCAGGTGGGGCCGCTTCCCATCACAGACCCTCTGCAAACAGACAGCTCCAGCCTACCCGCCCACACAGTTGTCAGCAAACCTGCCAGATGATCAGGGTCTAGTGGTCCAGGCAAGACCCCTGCCTCCCCTGCCCTAGCTTCCTGATGGGGCCTTTGAGGATCTGAGAGGTCACACTGACTTCTTATCCTTGTCTCAGGACATTGGGGTAGCCATAGTACCCAGACAGACACTGCCTCTTCTGGCCAAGAATATCTACACCAGCAAATGCTGGTCTCCTGAAAACTGTGGTCCCTGGGCCTGGCCTGGCCCTCCATGAGGCCAGGACAGGAACAGGAGCAGATGCTTTTGTCTATAGCTCCACCTCCACCCTGCCCCAGCCAAGTGGTCCAAGCATATGAAATTTGAACACCCAAAAAGAGTTCTAGAGCCAAGCCTGTGGCATATAATCCCAGCACTTAGGAGGATTGTTGTGCATTCAAGTCCAGCCTTGGCTATACAGACAGACCCTATCTGTAAACAAGAAGGGCAAAATAAATAAATAAATAAATAAATAAATAAATAAATAAATAAATAAATAAATAAATTCAGGGTAGAGGAGATAGCTCATTGGTAATATGCTTGCCTTGAAGCAGGAGGACCTGAGTTTGATCTCCAGAACTCATAAAAAAATAAAAAGCCCCTCCTTACCCACTGGAAAGTTATGGCACATACCTCTAATCCCAGCACTAGGGAGGCAAAGGCAGCCAGATCTCTGAGCTTGATCAGCCTGGTTTACAGAGCATGTTACAGAACTGCCAAGGTTACACAGAGAAACCCTGTCTCAAAACAAAAATATAGAAATGTTATCCCCCCCCAAAAAGGCCAAGTGGTGCACACTTGTAGTCCCAGCCAGCTCTGGGGAGGTGGCTGGCCTACTTGGCACACTCCAGTCTAGTGAGGTATCATGCCTCTAAATAAACAAGGTGGAATGTGCCTGAGGAACAGCACCTTAGCAATGACACTCAAGATTGTCCTCTGACCGCCACACACACTTGAACATATGTGCTCCCACACATATGCATAAATACAAATGAGTTCATCAGGACAGGTCTTAGGTATAGACACCTGCTGTGGGATGTTCTGTAGGTCCTGTGGGAGCCCATTTTCGGTTCTTTGTGGCGTTACCCAGCAGATCCGTATAGAGGATGATTAGGACCATGGGCCTGAGTGCAGGTGTTTGAGATGGTCTGCACTTGGCTGTGCTGGGGGATGGTCTGTATGTCAAGTTGCTCTGATTGGTTAATAAATAAAACCTGATCGGCCGTGGCTAGGCAGGAAAGATAAGCGGGACTAACAGAGAGGAGATATAAAAGGACAGAAAGGCAGAAGGAGACGCTGCAGCCGCTGCAATGACCAGAGAGGCTGCAGCCGCCGCCATGACCAGCAGCATGTGAAGACGCCAGTAAGCCAACAGCCACATGGCAAGGTATAGATGTATGGAAATGGATCAATTTAAGATAAAAGCACAGTTAGCAAGATAAGGACAGTTAGCAGGAAGCCTGCCACGGCCATGTGGTTTGAAAGCAATATAAGTGTCTGTGTTTACTTGGTTGGGTCTGAGCGGCTGTGGGACTGGCGGGTGACAGAGGTTTGTCCTGACTGTGGGCGAGGCGGAAAAATCAAGCTACAGACACCTGCTTGAGGGAGTTGAGCATCCAGCCTAGCCCAGTGCAAGAACTGCAGAGTACACAGCTTACAGCTCCTCAGTGCCCTGCCACTGGAGAGACCGACCTCCAGCCCACAGGCCACTCAAGCCCCAAGACTTCACTGGGCAGCAGCATGGTCAGGCTGACCTCTTGGGCAGTACTGAAGCCTGGGGATCCCATCCTGAGGGTCCTTCGCTATCCTGGGGTTGGGTGTGTCATTTCCAAAGGTGACTAAGGGTGCAGCTCCCACAACTCAGGCTCTGCCATCCAGTAACCCCCACTCCAGATTTGTCTGTCCCCTGTGGGATCCCTTCTTCTATGATAGACTAGGGTGGTGGCCCAGCAGGAGCACATGTCCAGGGAGTGACTGTACCCCAGCTGTCCTATCTTGATCTGGGTACCCACCATCGGGAAACTTGAGCCTGTGGCTAAGGTAAGTGAATACAGGTCTGGCCATAGCTCTGAGAATGTGGTGGCCTCACGTCTATCCAGAGGCCTGATGCCTAGCACAATAACAGCCGTAGCTTCTGTCCTGTCTGGGTAGATTCCCTTCTGTGGGTGGGAGGGACCAGGTGGTTGGGCTCCAGGGCTTTGGGAGCAGCAGCACTTCTGACAGGAACCATATTGAGTCAGTCCCCTCTCTGACTGACATAGATGAGCCTGGCAGAAACCATGGACTGCTGGGAGACCCTGCAGGAGTGTGACAGAGCCTCTGGGTTCCTCCCTGGGAACCAGTAGCTCTTGGATCCCCAAACACTCCAGACATGCTGTCGTCACTTGGGGACTGGCAGGGGGACAAGTTAAAGTGCATGAACCACCCTCCCCACCCCAGCACAGGGAGAAGCTTCAACACCAGACAAAGCCTTTCTCCTTTATGTCTTCTAACCTCTGACTCCTCCAGGGGGGAAACTGTTGGTCTGCCTGCCCATCACTCACTTAACAGATAATGAGATACGGAGCACCAAGGCAGGGCACTTCAAATGTGCGTGTTTAAGATACAGAGAGAGAGAGAGACAAAGACAGGGATGGGAAGTAGGAGAGGGAGGAGACATTCAAGGAAGGAAAAAAGGAGGCAAGGAGACAGGGTCTGAGAAAAGAGGAAGAACAACTCAGGGAAGGAGAACTGCCTGCCCCTCACCCAAGCGTCCAGAGTCATCTCAGAGAGCTGGCCCTCCAGGTCACCTGGGACACATCTGGGGTCAGCAGAGGACAGCATGACCAGGACTCAGCCTGGAACTAGGCTGGCCTGCCTGGTCTGTGCCGCCCTCACCCGGGGCCTGTTTGGCTAGGTGGCCATAGCTCCTCCCAGCCTCTCTCACTGGCCAGGCTGGTCACTCAGGACACTCTGGGGAGGCCTCCCCAAGCCCTGTCTACAGCCCGGGCAGGTTGCCTGGTCTTGGTGCCAGGCGGGTGTGAGGCCAGCTGTGCTCAGCCTGGGCCCCTCCCAGCAAGGGCTTCCTGGAGGTTCCAGGGCCAAGCCTGCCAGACCGGTTCCTACACAGCCTGGCCAATCCTGCCAGTTCACGGGGAGCCCTTGATCCTGGAGAGTATTATGGTAGTCCCCAGGCCTACCCCCAACAAGACCACTACCCAGGAGACAGTTTCCAGTGGTGGCTGGCAGGCCTGCTCCTTTCTGCTCAGATTTCCTGGGGCAAGAACAGCCTCAAGCAGCCTCTCAGCCAGAGGGAATAGACCCTGGGGAGGGCGGGGAGATTCGGGCTGAGTCTGGAGGCCAGGTGAGGAAGGGACCGAGGAGCTGCTGGCCCTGTATAGGCCTTCAGGAACCAGACAGTGCAATGGGGAACACAAGAGTGTACGGGGTGGCCCA